TCCACACTTAAATAGCAAAGCATCATCCTAACTTGCAGCCATGAAATAACTTAGTGTTTAAGTGGTGCTCTTGGAATATTTGAATCACTTTCCATTTTAAAACAGTGCTTATCTCTTCAAATAGCAGCTTGTGGTAGTGAAAAGTGAAATGATGAAAAGATTGAAAACAGAATTTGCAAATAGATTTTGATCACTTGAAATGTGTGCTGGCAAGGTTAGAATCGCTTTAATCATATCTAGCTATTCCATATAATCCTTACCAAAATAACAAGAAACAAAATTTGCTGCATAAAACTTAAAATAATGCAGAAAGAAAATATATTTCGGGTTTTATTAAAATTTCTAAATTAAATTTTGAGAACTGAGTAAAAAAAAAAATAGAAACAGGTCTGTACAGAGCTGCATGGACAGAGCAAATAACATTTCTTCACCTTTACAATGGTGCAAAAGGAGGCACTTGTGCTAAGTGTTCTACAATGCAGCTGGCTTACTGTGTTGTTTTTGTTACACAATGAGAAGTTGTGCCATTTTAGCTGTGATTTTGGAGGAAGAGCAGGAGTAGGACAATACATGATGAGTATATCTCAGCAGCATCCATGTCTGCCTGGCTGTGTGGATCAACAGGTTCCCCCAGCTACTCATTAGGGAAATTCCAACTGTACCTTAAAAACAAAGTAATAATTCTGCAGTTTGTGCACAATTGCTAGGCCCTTGATAGAAGTAGAAGCATAATTACAGAATGAATACCTGTTACCATGCTGCTCAGTGTGCCAGGTGTTGTTGTAAGAGTGCCATACATTTGTGTGAGTCTGTAAGAATACATAAGAGCACGTGCACACTGCAACTGTTAGATTGTAGGCAATGCAGGAGGATAGTGGAGAGGAGCTTTTGGATTAAGGTGTATCTGAAAATATTGCATCATTTCTTCTAAGTATATCATGGAAGCTTCCATTTCTTATAAAAACCACAAACATTTATTCAATATGCCTCCCTTAAATTCCTTGAGGTGCTCGTAGAGGTTACACACAGCATTCAGTATAGTGTCCTGTCCAGCATCTCTTGTCTTTGATGTCTTTGCTTGAGGTGGGTGAGTGTTTATGAGTCACTGAAATCACTCTGAAAAACTGAGTTCATTTCACTAGACCAGGATTCTACTCCTTGTTTCTAGACTAACCTGGACATTTTCTTACCCAAGCAGTTACACAGTATTTTTCAAGGGAGTATTTAAATTACAAGGAGTATTAAGTTGTCACAACAGAGGGTTACGTCAAGCATCTCTCATTGCACGTGATCCCTGAATATGCACTAGTGGTCTGAAATCAGTTTGCCTCAGCTACTGAATAAATTTGATGTGCCAGTTGGAACTGGCATGGTTACAAAGCTGTGTTTCTGTTTAAAGAGCAGGATGAAAAATTTAATCAGTCTGCTAAAAATTCTCACTTAACACAATTTAAAATTCAATTTAAATTTTACTTTAGTTACATGGTGTGCTGCATTCTATGCTCCACTTCCACCAAGCTTCTCTGTTAACCAGTAAGAATACGGCGGAGTTGCACTTGCTTCTGATGCCAGTGGGCATAATCCAAGCCCATGAGACAGAGAGCAGATAATGATTAACTTTAAGCTTCTTCAGTAACTGAATGTCATCCTATGAAATCAGTGTATCTCATATCCAGACAGAATAACTCTTCAGTAATTCGTCTGTCTTAAATAGCTCTGAATGTAGGAAATCTTGAAGAAGAAAAAATAATAATAGCACAAATATCCATATCTTCAATAGTAAAGTAGGAGTAGATGACACATGAAATAGCTCTAGAATGTTTCTAGAGGGACAGTTCCCCCTTGGTGATACCTTCACTTTGTGGTAGCATCACATGCTGTCTCCTGTTTCATCTCTGAACACTTTCCCTTTCATGTGAGTAAAAGCATCCCAGATCCTTGGTCCTTTCCCATCTTTGTCCCAGGACCCTTTAGTCTGGTATGCAGAACTTCCAGCTCTCCATAAAAACCCTGGAGGTAAAAAGACTTGAGTTACAACTTAAACGTTTGGCTGCCCACCAGTCTTTCATACTAACTTCACATATGAAAAAGTAATTGATGCACCTCTGCTTTTGCTAGAACACAGCTCTGCCAGTCAGTTCTGTTTGTGGTTTTAGTCCAGCAGTGATTACGCAGTGCTCCTCCATGATCGTCCTCTGTTGCTATGTGTCAGCGAGTAAACCAGGCTTCTGTGCCTCCTTTTCTTTACTTAGCCACCTGGGAAATGCTTTCATACCTAGAAAGCAGCATTAACATGGGATGTGTGAGCCTTTACCCATCCACCCTAAGGAAATGGGTTCTGTAAGAAAAGCGATGTGTAGGGGAAGCCACTCTCAGGAGTTGGGTGGTTTTTGCCTGCTGCAGCACCCATGCAGCTGCCCGAGCCTGGGGCTTTCTGAGCGTGGGTGACTCATGACCTGGAACCTTCTCGAGGCCTTTGAAGCCATACAGGCTGAGCGAATTCCGGTTCATTCACTTTGCTTTGCGCTTTTTAAGCAGTACTGGCGCCCTCTGGTGGTCAGTTTCACGAATGAGAATCAGCTTTCAAAGCATTTTTTGGTAGCGTGGAATAAATAATACGTACCATTGTAGATGTTACACTGCCTCCGATGGCAGAAGTGAAAAGCACATTTGAACCGCAGGGGGCATTTTGTCAGGAGCCCTTTGTTCATCCATGCAGGTCACTTGATGCACTTGTTTCTGGTTAGGATGGACCCTGCTCAAGGTGTTGCTTGAAAACCAGCCAGCTTACATGCTCTGGGAGTGACAATCCTCATGAGGAGCAGCACTGTGTGTATAAGTCAGCCTGCTGCAGGAGAGCTTGGTGCTTTAGGCACCTTCAGTACTTGCCATGCATTTGGCAGGCGTTCTCCCCTGCAGAAGGTGGGCAGGGCAGTGTGTGCAAGTCATTGCAGCATTGTGTGATCTGGAGTTAGGCTTATTAACGCTGTGCATTATTCATTTCTCGTTATATCACATTTACACATAAAGCCATGCCAAAAATTAAGACTCTGGCGTGCCAGGAGACAGATAGTTACAGTTCTGAGATCTGACAGAGACAGATCACCCCTCTTAACAGGTGAGGAGGCCCTGAGGGATATTGGGCAGAAATCACCCAGGGAGCATCTATCAGAGCTAGGAGAGCTAGCAGAGCTGAGCCCAGTCTGCTGCCTCCCTGCACAGAGCAGTGCATACAAGTCAGTTTGCTTCTTTAGGGTGTGCTCACGTGTCACTGAAGTCACTTGGCAAATTGTCACCACCTTCAGTGGTCAGAAGAGCAAGCCTTTAATGTGCATGAAACTATGATTCTTTCAAACTACATTTAGTAGTGGCTGCTACGAACATAGCCCTATTCCACTTTGTGAGCTGGGCTTACATGATTTTTCTCTTACCACAATCTTATTCTGTGATGCTCTCTCCCAGCTTCCTGAATTAAAGCCCAACTTTACAAAAAAAAAAAAAAAAAAAAAAAAAAAAAGTCATGAGATATTATAAGATGATGAGATATTTATATTGCTACAGCTTGGTCATTTTTTCCTTGTTTCATCTTGGAAAACTTTTATTAGCAGCAGTTTTAAAATGTGCCAGAAACACATCAAGGCTATAAAATGTTTTATTTTGTTTTATTGGTGAGTAAAAAGAATGTTAAAAAAATGTACTCATGGAGGCTGTCCAAAATTGCCCTATGACTGCAGTAAAATAACCTGGAAAGCAGGTTATGCAATTGGCTTACCACAGGGTGTTGTGAAGCCACCAGAAAGTCACGGCTGACGCTCAGCTCAGGCTTATCTGCAGTTTATTGCCTGCAGCCTGGAGCAAGGTCTCACCTTTTAATGATGCAGGTAATTATGTATTATCTGGTTGCAGACCTACTGTGTAACCAGATCACACCAAGCTTGGCAAAAACCCCTCTATCTGAACCCAGTTGATCCTTACTCTCATAGTTGATTTTCTTCCGTGCTACACTTCACATTGCAAAACCTCTCAGCAGCCCAGAGACACCTGAAGCAGTGGGTACCACTGAAGTGCTCTTTGATTTTGCTTTTAGCCCTAAGGTCTTGTGCATCCAGATGATAAAGTAGAAGCTGTTCATAATTCCCTGACAGCTGTTCTGACAACCAGGCCAAATTATCCTCATACAACTGTAACTGTAACCCTCACTCCTGATATTTCATTCTTGCAATTGCACTCCCTCTCCAACCTTGAAAAGGCCTATTCTGTCTCTCAGAGAAAAATGCTTTTTATTACAGAGTGACCAGAAAAACATGTCATTTTCCAGTGTGTGGTCTACTCAGCTACTCTGGAATACTGGAGATTTTTCAAAATCAAAACAAAACCCACTTACAATGGCTCTTGGAACAGGAATGCTTGTATAACTGTACTCATATTTTTTCTGTGTTACAAAATGACTTTCGTTACATTATATTAGCTGGTTTTGGAAAGTTTTTGTCCATCACTCAACTGTACCAGTGGCCTGGACTTGGTTTTCAGAGAAAAATTGAAAATTGGAAGTAATTTAAATGAGGATGTCTTACTTTACAATCAATCATGTAGCTTTGATTTGAAGCAGTTGGAGAAACAGTTGTTAGAAGAGATGTTCAGAACCGTTTCTTAGGATTGAATGCATTCAAAGGACAGAAAGGAGTGCTTGGAAATGTGGGAGATGCATTTTATTGCCTGTGTGAAACGATCAAGAGCTGATGAGCAGGCTTTTTTGCTAAATGCCTGGTTTTGAACTCAGCTACGTACATGCAGATAGACACACATGCACGCCAGGCTTCCTCATTAACTTTAGAATAAAGATTGCCAACTTTTCCACATCTAGAACAATTTTTATTTCTATGTAAAAGCTTTTAGACAGAATGATATGCTCATATTTGCTCTGCCCTTTACCTGGTTAAGCTTGGTGTACCTCACATTGCTATGTGCTTTTTCTCCAGCTTCTCCTACTGCCTGCTGACCTGAACTGGTGGCAAGCCTGCATCCCGACAGAGTGCCAGGAGGCTCAGCACCACTCCACCACTTCCGGGACATGTGGGATGCAGTGTGGTGGTAGCACTGCCTGGAACCATCACAGTCTGCAGAGAGGCACCATCTTTTTTTTGGAAGATCTTGGGTTTGAAATGCGATCCCTGAAATGAGACCAGGATAGGTAACTCTTAAACTTACACCGTATTTATTTAGCAGTTCCTACACTAGCATGAAGACTAACACTGTTGTATTTTGTGCCCGTTGGTGACTGAATAACTGTTACGACTAAGCACTGGTTTTACTGGGATCATTTCTGAAAAACTTAATATATGTGAGAATCTACCATCTCTGTTTTGTGAAGGACTGTAAGGATTGGGCAGGAAGATGTAAATCTGCAGAATCTGCTGCAGTTGTACAGAACCCTCAAATTTTAAAGGCCTGTTTCCAGTTTAAAACCATTTCTCCTTGTCCTGTTGCTACATGCCCTTATAAAAAGTCCCACCCCTGCTTTCCTGTAAGTCCCCTTCAGGCACTGGAGGGCCACTATAAGGTCCCCCCAGAGCCCCAGCTCTTTCAGCCTGTCAAAAGCCCCAAAATATTATATTCTTAATAATATTGCTTGATGAACATGGAGAGGTGCACGAACTTCTCCCTTTTATGGAATGCTGTTCTCTCCCATGGGAAGAACTCATTCAATTTTGCACTGGTGTATTCAAAGTTGCATATCAGATTTTGAATGCCCAAATTCAGTGGATGGTTGAAAATCCCAGCCTTGGTAGGAAATCAATGACAGATGTTACAGATTTTCCTGGGTGCAATGAAGGTTAGTGAATTTGCTTCTAAAAATCAATTTTAATTTATCTTTTCCTGCTGACAGCTTCATACTAAGAGTTGGCCTCTTTCTGATGTGAACACTGAGATGCTGCTGCAGGCCACTACTGATTGGAATTTACTTGCTGTAGTTTAATTGCATGTTCTACCCTCATCTGTTTGCAATCACAAAGAGGAAGCTTCTGAAGCTTGGGAATGAGAGAAAATAAAGTGTCTTGACAACTACAAAACACTGAGAATGCTTTTGGAGTTTTTCCCATCACTGTGATTATGAACAAAAAGTCACAGCTAATTTTTTTTTTTAAGTTTATCTTTACACTGCACATATAACATAAATAGAGAAAACAAGTAGGAATAGTGGTGATTAATGAAGGTCTCCAAACACTGAATAACTGATCATTAATAAGAGTTCATGAATTGTTTTGTAAGAAGTTGAATTAGTTCATCACCCAATTAGCTGAGTTAGCTCATTAGCAAAACCATGCAATTGTTCTCTATGGATATTCAGCTTGGCTTATGAAACATTCAGGTTCTGTGCTTCTGGCTGCCCAGCTACCAGCAGCTTTTACTTTCAGTGATACTCTGGAGATTATGACATTAGTCCTTTTGACATGCAGCAGGCAGACAGAAATTGCAAGGAAATGGCACCTTAATAGCTAAAGACAGCCTAGTTCTGCTTCTGTTCAGGTTTGGAGAGAACAGCTGACAGCCTTGCTGAGCCTCTAGCTGAGCTCCACCGAGAGGCAGCATTGCACAGCACGGATGGGGCTGGGCGGGCCGGGCAGTGCCAGGCACCGATCCCTGCACACCCTGCAGAGCTCTGCAAGGCTGGGAGAACGTACTGAGTTCCTCCCTCCTTGATGGATTAATGAGAGATGGCGATGGAGCTTTAATACATGCTTAAAGTGGAATATCTGCCCCAGGGCTTTGCTGTACCACAGCCTCCCTTGTTTTAGGGGCAGATCCAAAGCTGAGTCAGTAGAAAGTCTCCAGTGAATTACAGCATCACTTGGATGAGATTCTGAGAGCCTATCTCACTTTGTCATGTAAAGGGTTAAAACTCAGTGAGCTTTTAATTTTATTTTTTCTTTCTTTTAGGCAATGAAAGGGGTAATAATGGAAATGATTAATTGAAACATTGCTATGAATCAGAAAATGTACTCATTGAAGTTAAAAAAAAAAAAAAAAAAAGCTGAGATTAATAAAGCTCAGAAAAGCATAAGGAGATGTAATTACAAACTTTACAAGATTCCGGTTTTAAACTTGACCAGATGTTAGCAGTAAGATGATTATACTCTGCAATTTGTGCATTATATAGTAGCCATGGCAAATGTTACATCACTTGAGGCATACGGATGAAATGACCTTGACTTCTGTTTCCCAGTGTATTAGCAAGTGTCTGTGCATTCCTCTGGGTGAGCAAATCATTGGGCTCAGCTGAGAGCATCAGGTGGCTGGTGGTAGAAATGATTTCCAGGCTCTCGGTCAGTCTGAGGAAATGGGTGCTTCTAAACTAGAGCTAGATGCTGGCATCAGACCTATGGTTTTCTGTGGTACTGTTAGTTTTAGTAATAATGTCTGCAAAAATGGAACCTCAGCAAGCTTTCAGTTTAGTGTGTGTCCACTTTCAGAGAGAAAGCAAACTTGTGTTGTGCTGCTATACTCAGCCATCCATAAAATAAAGCTGAAAATACAGCCTTCCTTCCAGAGAGACCTGACTGTGAAATGCCTTGTGATCCTCCTGCTGGAACAGCGAAATAGTTCCATCAATCTCTTTGAGGATGTGGTAATTTAAATCTCCTGGCTGTGTTTATACAACATTTAGCAAGGCCTGTGTCTGCAGTGGGATCTCCCTGATGCTGTTACAACATTGGAGGTGTAGAACTGACACTGCTGAAGAGTAGTTGTGGGTGGGAGGATGCACTGGCAATTGAGAGTTTATAAATCAGTTTATAAATGTCTGCCTTTATAAATCAGAGGCCTTGCATTGAACTGGGGGAATGTCACAGGCAGACAACTTACATATTGAATTAAGCACGTTCTTCTTAAAAAAGCAACAGGACACTAAGAGCTCTGGTTTGAGATCATTATTATTTTTTTTTTAAACTTTTTTGACTTTAAAATAGTTTTTCATTAAAGGAAACTATAACTAACAAGTCTGTCTTGACCAAGCTCGGGTTGTAGGAGGGCCAGTTTTTCAGGTTGCTGCGTTCTAAGATAATAAAGGTGATGTTTTGAAAGTTGTAGCTAAGTGGTATCTAAAGTCATGTTTGTTAGCTTTCTTTTTGCTACATCAAATCAAAAAAGGATGTTATTTGTGGTCATTGCTGAAATACTTGAATTTGAAGTAATCCAAGCTAACTTAACACATTAAAAACAAAAAAAAGCTACATTCTCTACAACAAATCTTCTGCTTATGCCAAAAATACAAATTCCAGAATGTATTTGTAATAATAATAATGCTAAAGCCTCCAGACATGCCAAATTTCCAGTCTTGTGGGTATAAACTGTAAGCTTTGTGCATTTTTCTTTCAGCTGTCAGATCCTCTTCTCTGAAGAGAGTTTCAGTGAGGAACAGCTTGAGATAAGCAGTGTGAACCAAAAGAGATCCCGATGGCTGTCAGATCAGTAAGTCATTTTTTTTTTCTTAAATATTTCTAACATCTGCTCTTTTCTTTAAGAGTGTGATGTAAAACAAGCAGTATGACACAGGGAATCATGAACTGATTTATCTGAAAGAGAGGTTGTGCAGGTGGGATTACAGGCTTGCATGAACTTGAAATTCGTATTTCTTGAAAGGTTTTCGTACTGATGGAACTTGAAGTAACTTTTTTTTTTTTCTGTAGAGGTAACTTCTAAATAAGAGTTACTTGATTTGTAGCTTAGATCCAAATCAAAAGGTTGGGTGTGAGTTGTCTTGTCTGCAAGAAGAGTGATTATATAGCCTCCGAATTATTTATTTAAAACTTTCCTGATTCATGATTAACTGCTGGAAAAACAAAACAAAACAACTCAAAGTATGAGTATTGTTTTGTTCAACCAGTCCTACAGAGTTGTTCCAGTATTTTTGGTTGCAGACATGATTGCTTTTTGGTTTTAGGTGTATATACATAATCAACCTACAATTACACTTCTAAATGAGAGAGTATGTAAATAAAAGCAGGGATCGATTTTATTTTTCTTTAAATTATAAATTTAAAAGTGAATTTCCAAATTCATGTAAGCTATGAACGATTATATTCTAGCCCTGCAGTTTTCATTGCTTAGCCCCAGACTAGGCCTTGCTTGTCTTTTGATGAGAGATCTTAGAAGGAAATGCTGTAAACCACAGAAAATGAGGTTTGGAAATGCTGTGGATGACCCTGAAAGGAAACACATGGTTTCTCAAACACAAAACTCGTGGCAGTGGAAGTTTTGGAGCTCTCTCTCAGAAAATGGGGTTTGCTAAAAACGAGAATATATTATTCACTATATTGCATTCAGATGATCTCATACTAATCGAAACAGTCTTGTGGGTCCTCTGATTCTGATTAAGCTCTTCTGCTGAAGGGACCCATGCTACCATCCTGCCTCGTTGGCAGGGGTTTTGTCATGAGATGTTTGTTTTTGCAGCGAGGACTTCTTGATAAGCGTTACATTAAAACCCACCAGGAAATGAATAATCCTGTATTCAGTGCAGAGTTTAAACTGCATGCTATAAATAAAACCAAGGCCACACATTGATTCCAAAAGGTAAAAAAAAGAAATCCTGAATAGCTCTGTTCATCCTGCCCACTGAAGGGGTGAGGCCGTGGGGGAAATATATTTTAATTGTATCACACAGGAGAAATGAATTAGGACTGCACAAGGCAACCTTAATTCTGGAGTTTCCAGCCTGCAGATACTTGACTTTTCAACCTTTAACGTAGGTGGGCGGGGAAGTTATTATTATTTTTGTTTTATTTGTCATTCTACAGCTAATTTGCATTTGAAAGTACTTGGTGTTTTAAAATTTATTCTGCTGGTACATTCCATCTACTCAGTCCCAACTGCTAGTTCTTAAACTGAGCTAGGAATGAGGAATTCTCCCTTAAAAGGATTATTTCTCTCATTGTGAACTGAAGCTCTTAGCTGCCATCTTCATTTCTTTCTGGTCATAAAACTTCAGCCATCAGACAAAGATCAGTGAGTCTCTAAAAATGAATAGGCGCCCCAAGGAAAACTGAACAGCCTCCAAAGCAATTGTATCAAAGTGACATCAGCGCTCAGATATTTTCTTCTTGGCTATTCCAACAACTTTCAGTCAATAACAGGCAGTAGAGCCAGTACACGCTGACTGTCTTTATTGCTCCCCCACTGGGAACATGTCTCTTTGTGAGAGATCTGCTGAAAGTGGTAGATCCAAAAGCTAAACAACTTTGTCCCGTATTGAGGGACTTGCCTTCAAAGTCTGTGGAATGTTGTGTTGTTCTTCTGCCAGGGCTTGCTTAGCAATGCCATGCTGAAATGCAGCCCTGTAATCCAGCAAGCTGCTGCTGCTTGTTAAAAGCTGACTACTGGTTATCAGCTGTCATCTTTGATGGGTCTGGAAGCTTAAGGTAACTTTTAAGGGTTGTGGCCAACCTGAGAATCACTTCTGATTTTGCTACTGACACGTTTGGTGAATCTGCAAAAGTTATTACATCTGCTGTGTTCAGTTATCGTGATCTCCACTTTATAGTGTTGTAAGACTTTGAGATGAAAAATGACCTTTAGAGTTTAAGTATTTTAGCACTAAGTATTACTGGTAACTCTCTGAACTCATTCATTCCTTTGGCACCAGCTAAAGGAATTCTGGCACTATAATCCCTGCTTTACAAATAGGGAGTGGATGCACTGGGCAGGGTAGAGCTCAATGCGTTCTTAATGTATAAGAGTGGGATAGGAACTGAGGAACACAGAGGTGATGTTGGGCTGGGATGTTTTAGCTATGCTTTTGCTCTCCTGAATTGTGCCTTCTGGGGAGAAAGCATTTTTCCCCAGCCCTCCCCCATCTCTTACTAATGTCTTTCCATGTAGAAATAATATTTGGAACCTGACATCGTGCCTTCTGAAGTGGTTTCCATCTTGCTGTCCTTCTAAAAGAACTTTAACCTTGTTTGAATGGTCATGTTCAGCAACATAAAATCTCAAATCCATAAAAAAACAAGTCCCCTTGTATTTATATACACCACAGCAAAATGTACCATTAAGGAGAAAACATTGCTTCACTGTGACTCTCGGAATTTATTGGCTATTAGAAGTCTTATAGTATGTGGCTCGCAGTTTAGAACTCTGATTTCAAGCTTAATGTGGTCAGGAAATATAAAAATACATTTATTTATGTCATCTACTAAAAATCTCAACCTATGTTACTGCTAGTCTAACCAGATCTATGTTTATGTTGGAGGTGAATGATCGGTTTGTAGCTGCCTGTGTTTGTAGCCAGGCTGAATGGAATGATTCTGCAGCAGAACTGTGATTTTTATTTTTTTCAAATTTATTTTCCTTTTTTTTTTTTCTTTGCATTTGATTTACTGCATGTACCAGCTACTTCCTTCCTCCCAGAGCCCACTGCCTGATTTCCAAGGACATTACTGCTGTCTGACTCCTGTCAAGGTGTATATGTAGGATGATGTGATTTAACGAGTTGTTCAAGGGCATCAAAATTCAGGCAGATGTTTCTATCCTACTGATACCTGTTTGCTGTTGCAAGCTTGGATTTGATCCGCTCTTCCACGTCTTCACATCAGCAGCTACCGTGGCTGATGTTTGCATAAGCTTGGTTTGTTACTAATACTTTAAAAAATAGCTTTGAGTAGAATTTCTGCTCAGACATTTGACAACCACAAGTTCACACAGGACTTAAGATCCCATTCTATCCCTCCTGCAATAGCTGGCAAGGGAGAAGCTGCCAGAATAGCTGCCAGAGGAGAAAGATGATCAGGGGTGAGACATCTTCCTGGAAGACACAGGCTTTTTGGTGTGTGACGTGCTGTTGTCCTGAACTGCCTCAAAACGTCAGTGAAATGATGCACCATAAGGTGCTTTCCACTTTGAAATCTAATCTCAGTCTTTAATCAGACGTACTATCTAATATTAGATAAAATGTTATAGGAAGAAACCTTGTATAAACTTCATCTTGTAAGAAAACACCTAAATAAGTGCTTTGTGGTCTTTTTCAAACTGTTAGTGCCTATGGTTTGCCACTGAAGCAGGTTATGGCTCTGCAGCAAACAGCTTGCTTCTGACACTAAGTCTTTTCTGCCTCTTGTTACAATGACCCCAAATCCAGCTGGTTCTGTGACCCCCAGGCTGGACAGAGCTGTCCTGCACCGTGAGCACCACGTGCCTTCCTGCACCACGCACAAAGAACTCTTGTATCGCTTTTCCAGTCCCCTGGTAAACAATTTGCTGGAAGACATTTCCCTGCTGACCTGAAGTGACAGACTCGAGTAAGCCATATCAGGCAGCCTGCAGCAACTTCCTTTCTGCTACCTTCTTTCATTGAGCTTTATTTTTGGTTTTGGTGCACTTGGACTCTTCTTGAGATGAAATAATGCACACAGTGATCTCAGTTGACCTTTCATGTACCATAAGAAACAGGTCTGACTCCCCTGAGCCGCGCGTGCAGGGGTTTTTGATGTAATTTCCTGGAACAGGTACAGCTGAGATGCTTTCATTGCTGTGACTGACTGAGCAACGGGCAAACCTTTTTGGCACCGACACACTTAACCTTTTTGTTCAGTAAACTTCCCATCCTGTGTAGGTGGACAATGAATACTAATATGATGCAAATTATTTCCTTTTTAAATGTGAAGGCTCCCTGATTAAAAACACACTGATCAGGAACTGGGTTTGTTCTATTCCCACTGAACAGAAAGCCCTTGTTGCCTTTGACTTTAGTGACTGCAGGATCAAAATCTTCGTTTCAAATAGGCTGCAATTAATAATTTTTTTCTGTATGAAACTGTAGTTGAATTACCAACTTAGTTTAGGAAGTGTAAATAATACAGACAAAGAAAAAACAAAACAATACAGGAGGATCTGGGAGAAAGCACAGAGAATGGAAAAATAGTGTTAAATCCCTTGCTTGAGAGAGTCCAGAAGTATGCTGGAAAATTGGACACTGAGGTCAGCAGAAGGTGTCACGGGACTTCTTTTGATATATGCAGGAGTAGCACTGGTAAAAAGCTGAAATATTGTGCCTAGAAGAGTGCTGGAACTTCCATTACTTCTTGGTTTGATATACTCTAAAATGCGTTGTGGACCATGCAGCTACTTTCCTTGTCACTGGGGAACTGCATCCACTGGGGATTCTTCATCCACTGAGGACAAAATGCTTTAGGTGTCTCTTTGCATTTTCTGTATGTACTGATCTTCCCTTCTTATACAGAGACTCTTCAAACAGCACTAATCTGTGTTACACAGTGGAAAATAATGAGTGGTCAGAGTTGGGCCGTTATTTTGTCACTGATTTTTAATTCAGGTTAGAATAGGGTTAGATGAAAAAGCATCATAGCTATCACGTTTCAGATATTAGAGCACTCACTACTGAAATTTGGGTATACTCTTCTCCTCATTTGTATTTATTAAAAGGTATTCTAAAATTATGGGAGAACACTGGTTAT